CGCGGGTATAAAACAGGAAGCGGGCGCGAGCACCCACCGTTTTTCACTGAGGAGCCGAGTTTAATGACGGCCGTACAGCGATGGTCAGCAACTGTGGCGGCGGGACGTCACGTCTCCCGTTCCCTCCTTCGGGGAACGAGGGTTACATCAGTAACCGAGACGTTCCCCTTCAGTCGCTCACGTTCGACGTGACGTCGACGTGACGACGTTAGGGGATCCCATGGAAAACGCCATCGGTTGCTGCCACATCCAGTGCCCTACGCAAGACTCTCAGACCCCCAATGCTGGGGCGGAAGACCTGCGTAGAGGGAGAACCTGCTGTTCCACATACCCACGCAGTGAACTCTTGAATAACACTGGGAAGCGTGCCTCTCCAGGGGAGAGGGACGCTGCGGAGCCACATCCTGCCCGAAGGGAGGTACCATGTGGAGAATACACATATGGACTGGCCGGTTGGGGCAGTGCAACATATGGAATGTCATTGGGGTGGCTCCACCTAAGGAGGGGGAGGCTACACCAGACAGTGACAGCAGAGCGAGCTCTGCCAAGGGAAAGACACGGTCTCACCGCAGGGAGCTGATCGTGGAAAAATACTCATATGGGATCGCCGCAGGGATCACACATACGGAACCCAGCCTAGCACAAGTTACACAAGCATACGAGCACTAGGCCTGGCGTCAGACGCTCCGCAACGTCCAACTGCCGAAGGGGTGTGGAGGAACTCACAGGGTTCACCTGGGTGTGGAACTCGACTGGAGCAAAAGAGCGCACGTATCCGCTCCGTAGAGGGGAGTGGCGCAGCAAGCCGACACTAAAGCGGGAACTTCGGTGTTACCGGCTGGTTGAAGCGAGCACACAGGAAGAAACCGGCTCAACACGTAGGCTATAGAACCTAGCGAACGTGTTAGGTGTCGCCCAACCCGCAGCTCTACAGATATCTGTCAGCGAGGCGCCGTGTGCTAGCGCCCAAGAAGAAGCGACACTCCTAGTGGAGTGGGCTCTCAACCCGGGCGGGCAAGGCACGCCTTGGGCTTCGTAAGCCAAGGCGATGGCATCCACTATCCAGTGGGCCATCCTCTGCTTGGAGACAGCCTTTCCCTTCTGCTGGCCTCCGTAACAGACGAAGAGCTGGTCTGAGGTCCTGAGGCTTTGCGTTCTGTCCACGCCAGGGCTGGGTCTGCCTCCTCCAAAGGCAGCGCTTGCAGGTTCACCACCTGGTCCCGGAAGGGAGTGGTAGGAACCTTGGGCACGTATCCGGGCCGGGGTCTCAGGATCACGTGAGAGTTATCCGGGCCGAATTCTAGGCACGATTCGTCGACCGAAAAAGCATGTAGGTCCCCTACCCTCTTGATAGAGGCCAATGCAACCAGGAGAACTGTCTTACAGGACAAGATTTTTAACTCAGCTGATTGCCGAAAGGACCAGAGACAAATCCCAAGAGGGTATAGAGAGTGGGCGAGAAGGATTCAGTCTCCTCGCTCCCCTCAGGAACCTAACGATCAGGTCGTGCTTCCCCAAGGACTTACCATCAACAGCATCGTGATGTGCGGCAATATCGGCAACGTACACTTTAAGGGTGGAGGGAGACAGCCTTCGCTCCAACCCATCTTGCAGGAAGGAAAGCAAGGCTCTGATCGAGCATGATCGGGGGTTCTCCTCGTGAGAAGAACACCATTCAACGAATAGGTTCCACTTCAATGCATAGAGGCGCCTCGTAGATGCAAACTCAATGCATAGAGGCGCCTCGTCTATGCAAACTCACCCCCTGCCCGGGGGTGAGTTTGCTCTTCTCCCAGTTGACCCGAAGCCCTAGGTGGCTGAGGTGACTGAGCACCAAATCCCTGTGTTCGCACAACTGCTCTCTCGACTGGGCGAGAATAAGCCAGTCGTCGAGATAGTTGAGAATGCGAACACCACGCTCGCACATGGGAGCAATGGCCGCCTCCGCAACTTTCGTGAAGACGCGGGGCGACAGGGCCAGCCCGAAGGGTAAGACTTTGTACTGATATGCCCGTCCCTCGAACGCAAAGCGAAGAAACGGTCTGTGTCGAGGGAGAATCGAGACATGAAAGTACGCGTCCTTCAGGTCGATCGCTGCAAACCAATCTTGGGGACGGATGCATTTGAAAATGCGTTTCTGCGTAAGCATCTTGAATGGTAGCCTGTGAAGGGACCGATTCAGGACGCGCAGGTCCAAGATTGGCCGTAACCCACCTCCTTTCTTGGGTACAATGAAGTACGGGCTGTAGAAGCCGGTCTTCATATCGGCTGGAGGGACCGGCTCGATTGCGTCCTTCGCCAGTAGAACTGCAATCTCCGCTCTGAGAACAGGGGCACTGTCCGCCAGAACACGGGTGAACAGGATGCCCCTGAAAACAGGGGGGCGCCGGGCGAACTGAATCGCATAGCCGAGTCTGACAGTACGGATGAGCCAGCGAGACGAACTGGGAAGCGTTAGCCAAGCTCCCAGAGACCGAGCAAGCGGGACCAACGGCACCACAGACGTACCCGGAGTGGGGCAGCGTGACGGAATGCAGGGACCCGACTCGGGCGGCATAGCGGCCCGGAGTGGGGTCTGAACGTGTGGTGCAAGACGTACCTGCTTCCGCCGGAGGGCAGAGTGAGTGTGCGGAGGCGACAGTGCGTCCAGGACACAGCCACTGCTGCCCGCTGGCGATGGAAGAGGGGCTCGGGATAGCCAAGGCATAGCGTCGTCGACTGCCAAGCGCGCCCTCTTGGGGCCCAGAGGTTTCAGAAATGGCTCTTTCTTTGACAAGGTGGGTACCACTGACCCGTGGGTCAGTGGCGGAACAAAAAGAAAAGGAAACAAAGGATTCTCCACCCGGCCCTCCACCGGGGGAAGGAGTGGCACGTCCGCCATCTCCTGAAGAGCAACTTGATCCACCTCTGGGCGGGGTCGACTTCCTGCGGCTTGCTCCACGCTGAGGCCTGGATGATGGCTGCTGCTGGGGCTTAGCGGGAGCGGAGGACGCCGCAGGAGGCCGACCTCGGCGACGAGTAGACGGAGGAGCTGCGGCCGGCGGGCGGGTGGGAGCAGCAGCGGTCCGCCGGGGCAGGATGTGTCGGATGGCCTCCGTCTGCTTCTGTGCGGCCGAGAACTGCTGGGCAAAGCTCTCGACCGCGTCGCCGAACAACCCAACCTGGGAGAGAGGGGCATCCAGGAACCGGTACTTATCGGTGTCCCTCATGTCCGCCAGGTTGAGCCAAAGGTGGCGCTCCTGGACCACCAAGGTGGACATTGCCTGACCGACTGAACGTGCGGTTTCCTTCGTCGCCCGGAGGGCGAGGTCGGTTGCCACACGGAGCTCCCGGAGGAGCTCTGGGTCAGAACCACCCTCGTTCATGTCCATGAGCGCCTGGGCCTGGTGGACCTGCAAGAGCGCCATGGCACGAAGAGCGGAAGCAGCCTGTCCACAGGCCTTGTAAGCCCTCGCCGTTAGACCGGACGAGAACTTACAGGCCTTGGGCGGGAGGCGTGGGTCACTCCGCCAGGAGGAGGCGGATGCCGGACACAACTGCATCGCGACAGCCCGCTCCACTGGGGGGATCCCCACATACCCCTTAGCTGCCCCGCCGTCGAGGGTGGCGAGGGGAGAGGAGCCACTAGGACGGCTTCGGGCACTATACGGTGCCTTCCACGTCCTAGAAAGCTCCTCATGCACCTCCGGAAAGAAAGGTACCGGGGCGGCGCACTGAGAACCAGCACGGCCCGCCTCGAGAAACCAATCGTCCAGCCGAGAAGGTTCGGGACGTGGTGGAGGATTCCACGCAAGCCCGACCTTCTCGGCGGCCCGGGAGAGCATAGCGGCTCATTCTGGATCCGGCTCGGACAACGCTACACACCCCGAAGGGGGCAACGCAGCCGAGTCGTCATCTCCAGATGACTGCTCCCCCTCCGATGCTGCGATCGACATCTGATTGTCAGCTGGTGCCCCAAAGGAAACGACTGGTCGTTCCGGAGAAGGACCGAGCCGTTCGCCAAGGGGCGCCGATGGCAACAGCACATGAGAGGCGTGAGGGGCCCGCGGAGATTGCCTCGGCGGGGAAGCCCTCACGGTAATCCTCAGATCACCCTGGTCATGCGCCGAAGTAGGCCTATTCTGCGGGGCAGATTAAGCACTAGATCGGGGCATAGGCGAGGGGACTGCACCTCCCTTGAGGTAAGCGAGTCTCGATCTAAGTGCTGTGATAGTCATATTCCCGCAATGGGAACATGAGCTATCCACAAAAGCTGCTTCAGCGTGCCGAACGCCCAAACACGAGATGCAGCTATTGTGGCCATCTGCTGGAGCCAGGGAACGACTGCATCCAGAAACGCACAAGCGGAATGACATCTTGAAAAAGACACAGGGTCCGCTTGTGTTGCTCTTTTAGTAAAAAAAAAAGAAAACAAGGAAATTGCTCTCACAGTGCTGAGGCGCCCAGGGGTAGCCACTGTGTGGACACACCCACACACACACACACAAATAATAGTGCTGTGAGAACAGCAGTTGAGAGCTGCACTGCTCGCGGCCACCGCTGATCGCGCCGTCACACCAACACTGGAACAGAGAGATCTTCCTTGAAGTCTTCAAAGGTGTTGAATCTTTAGACATCAGTCACAGGAAACTCGCGCTCCGAAATGAAAGACGGTGGGTGCTCGCGCCCGCTTCCTGTTTTATACCAGCGCTGCGGGGCGGGGGCGCGTGACGCGTTCACGCACGCCAACGTTCATTGGCTTGTTCTTAGATACTCGAAGTTGATAGGGCTCCCTGAAGTGATCCCCTAACGTCGTCACGTCGAACGTGAGCGACTGAAGGGGAACTGAGTTTCCCACAGTGAGAGAGAGAAAATCTAGGAGGGAACCAAGTAACAGTAACTGGAGCGTTTTCAAGTAAGGTTAAAAAGACAATTTTTTGTCCAACATCTAAAATTATGAATACTTCACATCCTATAGTTCAAAAATTCCTTAGATTTCCAAAGAAAGTAATTATGCTGACCTGCAATGATTAGTCTTGGGTGGAAGAGGCGAGCATTTTCCTCAAGTCTGTCATAATCAATATATCCAGTTTCTGGATTTACCTGGGGAAAAACACTTTACAATAAGGTCCCAATAGTTAATGTTAGTTAATGCATTAATTAAAATGTGCAATTAGAAATACAGTAAGAGTATTTATTCATATTTGTTACCGTTAGTTAATAAACCCCTTAACTCTCACCTGCCCCTATACGGGCAATCTAAATTTACTTCACTATATTACAATTAAATCCTAATCTAGTCATGACAAACTATATATCGTTGGAAAGGTCTAAGTCTGCTAAATAGATATTTGACTGCTGTTTTTTGCTACAAATTATGTAAGAAGAGTAACCGATGATTTTTTGACAAGAGTGCGCCTCAAAAAAATCTGCACCGTTAAAGGAGTTCTGACCTTTGTCACAAAAAGTTGACGCACACACCTTTAATAATTGAAACTTTGGGTTTTCATGCTAAAAGTTCATAATAAAACATATAATATAGTATTTTTCAATAAAAAATTATAATATAATATTATCCTCTAAAAATTATAATATATATATATATATATATTATCCTCTAAAATATAATATCTTTTTTATCGCCTTTTTTATTATATCACATATTTTAGTAGTTATCATAAATTATGTATCATTTGAAAGCTTACAAACTCAGAATTCATCCTGTGAAAACCGTTTTATAATTGAACGTTGCATTACCGTAGAAACGGTACTCTAAATTATTTTATCAGGCTCCTCCCTTTTTGGGCATCATTATATTTCATAATTTATGATCAAAACCTTTTCTAATCTTGACAAAACACATATTGTCAGAAAGGTCTGTGTCTCAAGGTTCCAAATTTTGTGACATAATTGATATTTGGACAGAAAATTATTAATTTGTGAAGGCAGAATATCTACAACTAAATTCAATGGAATTCAATGGCACCCGGTGGCTAATTTTGGTACTACGCCTAAACAAAATCTCATGGGAACTTCAATTTTTGTGATATCAACTTCAAATTTGGAACATAACTTGGTTAGATATATGGCTTTGATTTTATAGTAATTTTAGAGTAAAAATGTATATAAAATAAAAGATATATAGTACAGTATATTTGATTGACTGTAAATTTAAACTTCCATAACTTTTTCATACTTTAATTTTTTGAAGTGTTTTCACTTCAGCAATAATCTGCTGAGTGTTTTCTTTAAAACAAGACCAAACTTGGGTATATATTCCAAAGCATTCTTGAATTACAACCATTTAAGTTTGAATAGTGCATTTGAACCCCCATTCTCAAAAAGGGTGACAGCTAAAGGGTTAATAAAAATACAACTGTTCATTGTTCTCTTGCATTAATAATTTAACAGATACAACTTTTGATTTTTATAATGTCTTAGTAAATGTTGAACTAACATTTACTAAAGAGTTCACTACAATGTTGATTATAATCACAAGGTTACCTTATAAGGCATAGACTCAAAGAAAATAGATGTGGCTGAAATTTTCTTCTTGTCAGTCATGAAGCCATGGGTGAGATGGCCGCCATCAGAAGGATCAAGGCCCATGATCCGCCCATGAGGTTCCACTATGGCTGTGTATACGGCAAAGTTCGCAGCTGACCCTGAGGAAAAAATAAACAATATTTTGAACAATGTCCGATTGAGTTAATGTTTCATACAGTGTTGGGAAGGTTACTTTGGAAATTTAATATGTTACAAATTACAAGTTACCCTATTGAAAATGTAAAAAGTAGTAGGGGTGTGACGAGATCTCGTGCCACGGTCACTTCAATTGTAAACTATTGTAAACGTCTGCTCTGCTCATCCAGCACGAGCTGCAGAGTGCAGAGTCGCACACAGTGTGCAGAAATCACAGTTCATTGATCGCGTGACGAGAGTAAGGCGAGATGAATGACAAAATCATGGCTGATGATTCGTTGCACAACAGAGCGAAAATCGTACTATACACGGAGTATGCACGATCACAAATTAAAAGTGAAATTAAAACGCTCCCTGATGCGCGCAAATTAGGCTACATTCAATAGCCTGTCTCCCATTATTAAATTTATCCTAGCCTGGGTTGTGTAGTTGTAACCACCTCTTGACATTGACATTCATTACAAGATGATTAGTTAAAACATTTAAAAATGCACCTGCAGACTATGTTTCCAGTCATGAATTTTGTCATTGAGGATTTCTTAAAAAGTCTCGTCTCATTCTTGTGAACCCAATCTCATGTATCGTTACCCCCCTGATAAGTAGTGTAAGTAATCACTTTATTAAAGTAATGTAACTTATTACATTTGATTACTTTTCTAAACTTCTAACGAATGTTTTCAACTGTTTTCAACTGCAAATTCAAACAAGAGAGCCTATCAAAAGCATCAGAATAGCATCGCTTTACTAAACGGCCTTTAAATGGCTGGAGCCATTGTGCACATCAATAAGAGGCAAAGCAACAAAGGCAAATGTAACCCCCTTAATAATTGTCAACATTTTTATAAGTAACTAATTTTATTACACAGTTTTTTTTAATAACTGTAATGGATTACAGTAATATTTATTTTGTAATTTAATTACATAAACACGTTACATGTAACTACTTTCTCCCCAACACTGTTCATATGTGACATCATCTCTTACAGCAGCAACAGTCCAGTGACAGAAACAAGCCTACCAGAGTACGGTTGAACATTCACTCCCCATTTATCCGGGTCGAGGCCGTAGACCTTGATAGCTCTTGCCTGACACAAATTCTCCAATTCATCAACATGCTCTGTGCCTTCAGAATATCTTATAACATTAAACAAAATTTGACATTTGACACAAGCCCATTTTTTAATATGTAAGCGCAAAGGGTAAATTACATAATATTAATCTGATTGTCATTACAACAACATAAAAATTGTAATTAAACAGTACATGAAATGTCGTTGCACAATAGTCACCTCTGACTAGGATACTTAGAGTACTTGTTGTTCATGCAGGAACCAAGAGCCTCCAAAACAGCTCGACTAGTGAAGTTCTCAGAGGCAATAAGCTCTAATCCATACGTCTGCCACTGCTTCTCCTTCTTTATTATGTGAAATACCTAGTGCAAACAGAAATTTCAAGAGTTTACACTTACAAATAATCAGAAGGAAATAAATGTATGCGTATTTGGAGTGCTGTCCGAGGGGAGGGCTCTGATCTTGGACTTTGGCTTAGTCCCCCTGTATCTCTGGTTAGGATAGTAACCAGACAAGTGTGAAGAGATGGGGTGGTGGTGGGATGCGAAAATTGTCGAGGAACAAAGTTGAGTCAGCTATGTATATATATATATATAGCCCTTATAGCTCTCTTGTTGATTGGTTAGATAATTTGAATGTGTTCCTCCTGAACTTTGTTAATAAAACATAATTCACGAGTTCACACTTACAAATAATACGAATGAAATAAACGTATGCATATTTGGCATGCTGTCCGAGGGGAGGGCTCTGAGCTCGGATTTTAGCCTGAACTCAGAGTACTCCCCCAAAGAGATGCAAAATGGAACAACGGACAGCAGCCGGGAAATGGTACTGACCCCCCCAAAATTAACGGAGTACGTGGCTGAAGTTTGCAGCGTTTGCAGGGAAGGAGTTATTTGCCAGACCGGGAGGGCTCTCTCTGCATCCGACGGGAGCTCAATACTCACGGCGATCGGATGGGTAAGCCTTGCCGGCCAGCGAACGAGGATGGAGTTTAGACGCTTTGGCCGGGGGACCCTCGCAGCATCCGACGATAAAAAATTGATACTCATGGTGATCAGATGGGAAAGCTCCCCCGACCGGTGAATGAGGAGTTTTAGCTGTTTGACTGGGAGGGTTGGCTACTCGCGGCGATTGGATGGGTTAAACCTCCTATGGCAGTGAAGTGGGAAGTTCTCGACCGTTTTGACTGGGAGGGCTCTAGTGGTGTCCAACGGGAGTTCAATACTCGCGGCGATTGGACGGGTAAGCATCGCCGGCAGTCAAGCGGGTATGGAGCTAGGCTGTTTCGACTGGGAAGGCTCTAAACTGCATCCGACGAGAGTTCAATACTAGCAGCGATCGGACAGGCAAGCACTGCCGGTAGTCGAGCGAGAATTGAACTTTGGCCATTTGGAATGGGAAGGCTCTCATGGCGTCCTAACGGCATGGAGCGGACTTAGCCCTGTTGGCGATAAAACTTAGGAGGTAGGGTGGGCTTCTGCGGGGCTGAGGGTTAATACTGTTGTTAAGGTGAGAATTGTTGGACGAAGAACTTGGGATGGATGAAGCAGGCTTCGGTGTGAGTTGAAGTGCTAAGATGGTTGAAGAGAAGGGTGAAAGGCGGGTGGGGATGAGTAGATTAGCTGATGAGGGTTTGGTGTGCTTTTTTCATGTGGAAGCGGTTGGATCTAATGTAGTTTTTGAAAGCATCCGACAACCAGCGACCAAGTGCTTGAATCTGTTGCTGGGAGAGGCCTTTTTGGGCAGCTGTGGTTGCGGCGCCTATGTGAAAATAATGGCTTGAAAAGTGCTCTGCTGAGATGCCGGATTGGATCAAGACCAATTTGAGGTGCTTTTGAAACCAAAAACGTGTGACGGGGTGATTCGATATCGTCTGTGAAAAGCGGGCCATAAGGGGTTTTAACCTGTGGGTTCCTGAAGTGTAGGTAGGATAGGAGGGCTTGATACGGTAGGATGGGTGACGGGAGATTAAAAATGTAAATGAAATTACCTTTTTTCGTCTGATCTGGCTTACTTTGTTTGATAAAGTAAAAGATGGTTTCGTTGTCCAATATTTATAAATCTGAAATGGTGGGGTAAATTTTAGGGTTAAAATTAGAGGTAATGGCGAGTTCAGAACATCTGAGAAAACTGAAAAAGGCCGAGATGGACTTAGCGTCCAGTGTGCGAGCTGTTTTAATGGAATGGTAGCCTAGGCGGAAGGTGGAGATGCAATTTGATGAGTAGTCTAATGTTAAAGGTAGTCTGGCGTCTGGACAGGTAGGATGGGTTTTTTGGACGCCTTTGATAAGCAGGGAGGTATGTGAGTTGGTTATTGAGGAGGAGGGTGAGCCAAAAACAAGTTTGTGGAAAAATTGGATTCCACTTAATAGCCTTTAAAGACCCACTCCGATGAAAATAATGTTTTTCTAGGTGTTAACATGTTCTTGTGGCATTTTTCTTATGTTAGAGGACATATCTTTAGAAAAATAGGCTCAAAGTTGTATTTCTGAGTATTTCTACATTCAAATGGCTGTGAATCAGTAGCAGACGCAAAAATGCCGTTTGAAATAGACTGGAGTTGTGACGTAGTAACTCCACTGGGCGGGGCCACAAGCTCATACTCCCCGCCACGCCCGCTCAGGTTCTGAGGAGTAGAGAAGACGATGGCGGATCAACACCTATGTGCGGTAGCGGGTTGCAATGCTAAGAGGAGAGATAGTGGTATTAGCTTTCATGCTTTACCAAAACATGTTGCTGTGAGAGATAGCTGGTTGACGTTCCTTGGTCACGGCAATGATAAAAACCACAAATCGGTTTGCAGTCAGCACTTTACAGAAGACTGTTTCACCAACTGGCAGGAGAAGAAAATGGGCTTCGTCAATAAATTGTTTTTGAAGCCGGATGCAGTGCCTTCCATCAAGACACCATCAACTGGACAGCCTGTGTCTTTACCGGTGAGTTTATTTTTTTTTCTGTCGGGAGCTAGTTCAACGATCCCGCCTGTTTGCTAGCACAGTGCGGCCAAAGTGGCGCTTTTCTGTCAGGAGCTAATTCAACGATCCCGCCTTTTTACTCATTAAATCAGCTAACGTTATCTACCGGGCAAAAACCCCAGTGCTGCATAATGTGGCAACTCTCTGTTAACTTAACTTCATCTGTGTTAAAGCGTTGTAGATTATAATGTAATGTAATGCTTTTCACAGGGGCTTTTTTGAAGTTGTGTTTTGTGTTTAATTTTACTCAGCAGCAGGGTCAGATACACACACACAAGCCGTTGCATGTCACTGTGAACAGAGCTCCGATAGTGGCGCTGAAATTGGAACACATACTGTAACAAATAAGTCACTTTTCACCGTCTATCAATCGTCAAAACTAAAGTTTGGAGAACACCGACTGATCCCGTCAGTAATTACATCATTGCATAATGAGAGAGGGCAGCCAGCCTCCTCCAGGAGGGATGAAATATCGAGGCTCCGCCCACAACGCAGAGGCGAATTTCTAATGAGCTACTGCCGCTCTGCTGAAGCAAAGTCCCAGAAAACGGCACAGGTTTTGTGATTTTGGCTAAAAATGGCATAATCATAATTTAAAGACCACTGGGAATGTTTAAAAATAGCTAAAAAAAATGATCGGAGTGGGACTTTAATGGAACCGATTTGGAGGTTCTTAACTGTGTTGAGATATGAAATGAACTACGTATTCACGAGTTTACATGTTAATGAAATCTGATGTAATATTACAATGTGTATTTGGCTTGCTGTCCGGGAGGAGGGCTCCAAGCTCAGAATTCGGCCCGACCAAGGGGGTAATCCATCGACCGGAAGTTGAAGCTGGCCGGGTACCGCCATCTTGTAGCAGAACTTCACTTGCGTTAGCATTTCCATTGACTACCATTCATTTTGGCGTCACTTTGACAGCGAATAACTTTACATCTGAGGCGTTTAAAGACTCCATTTGTCCATTATTTATTTCTAAAGAAACACGACAATGTATAAAGGGCTCCATTACCTTCTATGTTACATTATGGCCCCGTAGAAACAGTTTTAGTAAAAATAGGCTAACGATTGCGTCATAACCACTCGACTCTCTGTCGCGCTGTACAGAAATTACCGTACAGACAGGAGGAGAAGCTCGCAAGCAATCGGCGGGACGTCCTGTCAAGGGAGAAGCCCATAGATAATGAGTCCATAAAAGCAACGGAATACTTACTCCTGCTCACTCACGATAAAGGACTCTTTGCTCAAGTTCCCCGTCTCTGCAAGATTAACGTTGGCAATTTTCACGCACAGCTACTAGAAGATTCACGTCTGTAAGACAGGTTGCTCACGTCATCAAGCTTAGTTTGAGTCGGTTTGAGTCTGCGCGTCAGGAACGGAAGTGCTCAAAAATCGCTAAAAATGGGCTTCAACTGAGTTCCAATGAGATGGCTCTGTCCATTTCTTATACTGTCTATGGGTCCAACCCCAGAGTACTCCCCCCATAACCTTAGAGGTCATAGGTAACTATGAGCGGACCCAGCCGAATGTGGGGTGAAGGGGTGGTGGTGGGATGCTGAGAAATAAGTCATGAGACAGGAGGTAAGGGAAGGCTTTATTTATACTGGCTTCTTCTTGTGCTGATTGGATGATTACCTGAACATGCTCCTCCCGAACTTTGTTACATAAAGCTTAATTTAGTGAGAAGAGAAACATCTTCTTTAAAACATCTCAATGCTGTTAGGTAAGATTGGAGGGTTCTGGGGGAAAAGGCTTGAAAATGGAGTTGAGAGAGGAGTAGAGCAGTGGTCTCAAGGGGTGATTTATGGGAAGATTAATTCTGAATAGTGAGGGTTGGAGTCCGCTTTTGGAGCCAGCTGTTTGAAGTTCTGATCAAATCTGCACTTGCTGACGTTGCTGGTGACAGGGGGGCGGTTCCGAAGTGATGGCGTTTAGAGGTATGGGCATCTGTGTTGCTGAAAACAGAGAAAATGGTGATTTCCAAAATGGTGAGTGTTGGGAGGGAGAAACTCCGGGGCCGAAGATGAAAGCCGAAGCAGCCTCACGCTTGGGATGGCCCCTGGGGCTTGGATAGCGACAGGGAAGGAAAAGGAAGGCTGGGGTGGAAAATATACCGACTGGGCCTGCGCTGCTAGCGGAAGAAGCCTCACGCTAGGGTCTGCTGTAGGCCACTGGTGGGGAAAAAGGTTAGCGGTAGCAGGGGCAAAAGGAGAAGGAAGTATTGTATTGACGTACAATTCGTATAATCCGGGTATATTTATATGTCTTGAGAAATGGACGTCAGCGCTGATCAGTGCTTGCCTTAGAACTAAGAACTGTCCATTTCTCGATTGCAGGTATGGTTGGATGGGCCAGGGTGTATGAAGACGCAGAGGAAGATG